ACTGGCTGTGTTGTAATGGGAAGATCAACGCCTTCTGAGCTCCCTTTTCCTTGTTGGCAAAATCGGGATAATACATACACATTTCACAAGACCAGTGCAATTAGTGAAATAATGTACATGTGAAAGTCTATTATTCAAATATTAGTTCTTCAATGAAGGTGGGTTAGAGGAATGGTGGCTAGAATGAGGAATAAACTATTGCAAGAGGCAATTTCTGTAAGAACTAGCAAGGTTTGGTGATAGATGAAATTAAAAGTAAAGCTGTCCATCAAAACATGTATATTATCTAGGGTGAAACAGATCACCAGCCCAGGTTGGATGCATGAGACAAGTGCTCGGACCTGGTGCACTGGGAAGACCCAGAGGGATCGGGCAGAGAGGGAGGTGGGAGGGGGGATCCGGATGGGGAACACATGTAAATCCATGGCTGATTCATGTTAATGTATGACAAAACCCACTACAATATTGTAAAGTAATTAGCCTCCAACTAATAAAAAAAGAAAAAGAAATGTTTGTTATTTAAGACATCCAAAAAAGAAATAAAATAAAAGTAAAGCTGTCTGGCCTTTACAGGAGCAAGTTAGAGGGAGAAGATGACTGACTAATTAGGGGCAAGCAGTCTTTGAGCCCACAAAGCAACTGTGGGTAATTTGGATACTTGGAGTACCTGATGCCGAGGCATGGTAATCAAGGACAGTCTTGTTTGTTTGTTTGTTTGGGGGATTCGTAGAGACAGCCTGACCAACCAATTCGGTTCTGCTTCCTAAATATAATTTTGGGCTAGGAAAGTTACTTAATTCTTTTAATCTCTGCTTCTTCATTTGTAATTTGGAGATGATACCGACTTAAGAATTATTAGCAAAGGCTCAATAAACGGTAGCTACGGTTATCATAACCATCATTACTATTAGACCGACTTGTCAAAAGAGTTTAGAGAGATAACACTACAACCTGCGAGAAAGTACTTGAAATTGGGACTCTATCCGGTTGAAAAACTCAAGACGAAATCACTCCACGATAACTCAGGAGGTAGTACATATGGGAATAACTGCCTAATTGCCCCACAGATTCCAAAGATAACTCGGTGTTTTTCTTTCCTTTTTAAAAAAACATTTAGAACTTTAAAACAATCTCAAATCAAAAGGGATGTGAAATGTGTAGTAAAATCTTAGCAAATTTTGAGTTCGAGACCGTGTTAAATCCATCGATCACGTTAATTTCTTGGAATAGAGCTTTTCTTATCATTAATGCAAAAGACACCAAGTGATGGCCAAAAAGGAATAAGGAAAGGCTGGTTTAAAAAGCACAGTAGCAGGAACAGAGTTCACAAACTGACCACAGGTGGTGGGGAGACGCAGGTAGCAGATTCCCGCGGGAAAAGCCGACCTCAGCATCTGATGGCCCGGGTTCGCCCCTTCCCTGCCACCACCCGTCCCCTCTCCCTGTCCCACCTTTGCGCTTCTGCCTCATCTCCCCGCAGTCGTAGCAGCCGCCACCCAGAAAACGTAGATATCCACTCGGACCACGGGGGAGATTGACAGCCACAAAGCAACCCTGTCCTGTCGTAAAACGACGGAAATATATCGTAAAGCTGCCCCGAGAAGACCACGAGTGCAAGGGTCAGCCCCGCCTTCCTGCGGCGGCACCTGGACCCCCTGGGAGACGGGGTAGAGCTACTGAGGCCATTCAGCCGGGGGTCAAGGGGCTGTAGGATGCTTGCGTCTGAACGCCACCGCAGCTCTGGCATTAGAAACCTTGACCTGAGCAGTATAGCGACCGGACAGAGTTTATGGACGGNTAGGAGTTCATCCACTCCAGCTAAAGATCTCTCAAGTAGCGACTAAAAGACCCTGCACGCTGTACCTAAGACCTGGCACAGCCAAATAAATACATAAATTTAAAAAAGAAAGAACCCTCTTATTAACACATGAAGACAGGAATAGGCGCTGTTTCCAGTTCCTTACTTTGCACTAGAATTGAGATAACTCCAAGTCTTTGGCCTCACCATGACACTGAAACCTTCCTGGTCAGTTTTTGTGACTGTCCGTCAGGACAAATTCAGTAATATGTATTAGTCCTTATTGTCATTCTAGTACCGAGTGACATAAGTTAGCTACCTAGAAAGTCTTCTAGGACCCTCCAAGAAAAAGTTAGTTTTTCTTCTAATTTTTCTCCATCCTCCTGTATATCTTCTCAAAATATAGGTATTCCACGAGGGTTGCTTCTTAAAATTGTCTCCCCGAAAGTGACCCCCAGAGTACCCAAGCTTTAAATACCATCTGTTTGTTCCCATGTTTGTGGTCCAGCCCCAGCTTCTCCCCTATTTGACACTGTGTTAGATCTGTGTGTGTAATGTGTACCAGAAACTTAACATGTCTCCAAAGGAACTACGCTTTTACTCCAACTCTGCCCTTTCCCCAGTCTTCCTTATCTGAAGACACCATCCTCTACCTCATCACTTTTTAGCCTCACACAAGAGAAAGAGATTTTAAATTATAATTGAGAATGCAATATTTGAGCTAATATTTGATATGCGGATATCTGGGGGAAGAGTCTTTCAAATAAGAGGGGAAACTTAGCATAAAGGTCCGAGGGTGAGAAAATCCCTGGTGTGTTCATAGAAAGCAAGGAGGTAGCTGGCATTTGAGCAGTGACTGAGGTGAAGTGTAAGAGGTCAGAGAAGTGATGGGGTGAGGTGGGGTGGGGGACAGTGCAGCTCATGTAAGATCTTGTAGACCAGTGTATAGCCTTTGCCTTTTACTCTCAGTCACGTGGAGTGCCACTGGAGAGCTTTTTAGCAGAGCTATAATCTAATTTATAATTTAAAATTACCTCTGGACTTCCCTGGTGGTTGAGTGGTTAAGAATCCTGACAATGCAGGGGACACCCGTTCGATCTCTGGGCCGGGAAGATTCCACATGCCATGGGGCAGCTAAATCCATCCGCCACAACTACTGAGCCCGCATGCTCTAGAGCCCATGCTCCGCAATGAGAAGCCACCACAATGAGAAGACTGCTCACCACAACTAGAGAAAACCTGTGTGCGGCAACAAAGACCCAGTGCAGCAAAAAATAGATGAATAAAAAAAAAATTTTAAGTCTATTTGTTGTGTTGAGAATGGATTGTAGGGAGAAGTGTAGAAGTGGGGAGATCAGTTAGGCAGCTATTATTGCATCTATGCCAGGGATTCCCAAATTTTGATGCTCATGAGAATCACTTAGAGAGGTGAAAAGTCCCAGTGCCCAGGTCACAGCCTGTGCCAATTAAATCAACATATCAAGGGGGTGGCAGCCAGGCATTAGTATTTTTTAAGATTCTTGGGTGATCCCAAAGTGCAGCAGAATTTGGGAGCCACTGAACAAGACCAGAGATGATTATGGCTGGAGTAGGAGAGGAAGCAGTGGGCGTGGTGAGACATGTTCAGATTCTGAATCTGCTTTAATGGTTTCAGCAAGACGTCCTGATGGCCACATGTGGAGTGTGGGAGAAGGACAGGCATCAACATCCAGGGTGACATGGAAGGATTTGGATGAGGGGCTGGATGTAGCTGTCACGAGCTGAACTGAGGAACACTGTAGGTGGAGTGGGGTTTTGGGGGAATAGGGGGTTAATTTGGATATGTTGTGTTTGGGATACCTTGTGAGCTGTAAGACATGAAAGAGATTGGGGCTGGAAGTACCAAATGAGGGTGATAGGCATATGGGTGATACAGATGTGAGACTAAAAGAAAGAAAAGAGTGCGATAGAAAAGAGACCAAAGATTAAGCTTTGGAGTATTCTATTATCACCAGGAAACAGGAGTAAGGAGGATAGGAGGCTGAGGAGGTGCAACCAGGAGGTGGGAAGAAAACTAGGCGTGTGTGGTTGAGGAGGGAGCGATCCCCTGGATCAAATGCCACTGATCGGTCAACGAAGAGGAGGGTTGAACATTAACTAGGGTCACCGGAGACTCTGACACAAGCAGTTTCACAGAGTGGTAGGGGTGAAGGCTTAACTGGAGTGGGTTGATGATTAAAAGGAGAGAGCTTTGAGACAGCAGCTTTAGAAACAACTCTTGAGGGGGTTCGCCATAAAATACAGAGAAATGGGACAGCAGCTGGCAGGGAAGCCGGGGTCAGAGGGAGCGTTTGTTAAAATGGAATAAGTAACAGCATGTTTGTATGCCTATGGGAATAATCCAGGGGATACTGAAAATCTGATGGATGAAGAGGGAGAGGTAGTCTTCCCCGTCCTGCGGTTGGACAGAAGGAACGGGATCTGGTGCCCAAGAGAAAGGATTAGCTTTCGATGGGCACAGGCACTGTTCAGTGCCTCAGTCGGGTCTGACTTTGCGACCCCATGGACTGCAGCACGCCAGGCTTCCCTGTCCTTCACCATCTCCCAGAGCCTGCTCAAACTCACGTCCGTTGAGTCAGTGATGCCATCCAAGCACCTCATTCTCTGTCACACCATTCTCCTCCTGCCCTCAGTCTTTCCCAGCATTCTTTCCCATAAGTGGGGCATATTGGTAGTTCATCTCTTTCCAGGCTGGAAGGCAGAGCCAGTGATATATGTCCTGAGGGAGACTTGGGTGTGAAGGTGGGACTCTGTGGAAGTCCTCTTTCAGTTGCTTCAATGTTTCTAGTGAGCTCAATGAAAATTCAGCTTGGTAGTTTGCCAAACTTCTAATGGAGCTAGCATTCAGGCGTCCAATAGTACCAAAGCCCACCTTAATGAACGCAGTTTTAAAAATGACCGAAATTCATTTTAGTTATTAGGGGCTTCCCTGGTGGCTCAGTGGTAAAGAACCTGCCTGCCAATTCAGGAGGCACAGGCGATGTGAGTTCAATCTCTGGCACGGGAAAGATGCCCTGGAGAAGAAAATGATAACCCATTCCAGTATTCTTGCCTGGAGAATCCCATGGACAGAGGAACCTGGTGGGGATACAGTCCACGGGGGTCGCAAAGAGTCAGACATGACTGGAGCAACTTAGCATGCACACACTTTAGCAGTACCTCTGGTTAAGAATCCAGGTGACTATTGAAACAGAGAAACAGCCAGTAGAGGGAGAGCTAAGCTCACAGAACATGAATATATGTTATGATTTCAGCCCAAAGAAATCCAGCACTAGTGATGGTCATTCATGTTGATTTTGTTTTGAACTCTATATTGGAACTTCTATGGTTTTCTAATGGATGAGGCACACCATCTTGCTAAGAGCTGCAAGCAGTTTTTAAGACCACATTCTTTCTGACCTTTTGTTGCCTTCCCACTTTGGACTATAAACATACCTGCAGTTACTGAGTGGTAACCTAGTAATGATTGACTCTGTCTTTGAAGGTCAAACCCTACCTGAAGCTGAAGGTTAAAAAAACAGATTTTATCCCTGACTTTGATGTGACTGTTTGGGTTACAGCAAGGAGGGATAGGTTCTGCTTTCTTCTCCTGGATGGCATTTCAAAAATCCTTGTTTTTATGTTCTGTTTTTAAAAATGTGGACGTAAAATTTAAGTTCCAGAAAGAGTTATTTAAAACTGTATGACATTCATTTCTACAGTCATATGATCCAATGTCATTTGGTTTTGGTGAATTTCAGCACTATGTATCAAGAATCAGCTTATCTTCATCCTCTCATATTATCCATCTCTCCCAGTTGTTTCCTATTTGGGGTGGGGGGAACCCATACTTCGTCTCTCTTGGGACTGTGGCGTTTTTCTTTGCTGCTTATGTTAAATCAGATCCATCAGAATAACTCCCATCTTCAAGGAAAGGATACTGCAGGGTGGAGGTTGCAGTCCATTTGGAAAGGAAAAGTGACTAATGTGTAGGCTAGGGAAGGGAAAAAAGGAGTGCCCCAGTTCACATACAACTTAAGTTTAAATGAAAGGCGCAAATAGTACGTATCTATTTATGAGGGCGGAGACTGTCATAAATAGCTCTCTGATGGCAAATTAGTTTCACTTCTGCTTGTGTAAACGTGGCTTTATGACGGTGGCCACAAAGGACTCTCTACCCCAGCTGGTTCCACGAACCTCGACCAAGGCAAAGAGGTCGCCACTGTCTTTGTGGAATCTTGGAGCTGTAGCATGCAAAGTGACATCTGGTAAGTTGTTTTTCTTATGCAATTTATGCTGTAACTTATGATTGATTAAAAAATAACTTTAGAGAAAAATGGAGATGATGGTAGTTTCCATAGAATTCACAACCAACTTCCTCTCTCATCTTACGTTAGTAAAGGTACATTTTTTATAATTAATGAGCCAATATTTGTAGTAGTATTATTAACTAAAAGAAGAAGAGTGACAGGAAAAGAAAGTGAATGTGTTAGTCGCTCAGTTGTGTCTTGCGACCCTATGGACTGTAACTCACCAGGCTCCTCTGTCCATGGAATTCTCCAGATAAGAATACTGGAGTGGGTAGCCATTCCCTTCTCCAGGGATCGAACTGGGGTCTCCTGCATTGGCAGGCAGGTTCTTTACAGTCTGGACCACCAGGGAACCCTAAAGGTTATCCTTCATTCCGATTTTCTTAGCTGTTATCTAATGTCTTTTTTCTGTTTTAGAATCCTATCTAGGGGCGGGGGATTTGGGAGAGATTAGATACATGCATATGTGTGGCTGAGTCCCTTCGCTGTTCCCCTGAAACCATCACAACATTGTTAGTTGGCTATACCCCAATACAAAATGTTTTTGGTGTTTTTTTTTTTTTTTAAATCCTATCCAGAGCATGTATTACATTGAGTTGTCATGTCTCTTCTTGGCTGTGATCTTGTGTTTGATGACTGACAGTTTTGAGGAGTCCTGGTCAGCTCTTCTGTAGGATTCACAGGAGTTGTGGGTTTAGGGCGGCAGATCAGAGAGTTAAAGGTCATTCCCATCCCGTCATATCAAAGGTACACATCATCAAGATGATTTATGACAGTTGTTGTTGACCTTGGTCATCTAGCCGAGGGAGTATTTGCGAAGTCTCTCTACTGTAAAGCTACTTTTTTTCTCCTTCTTTTCATCCTGTCCCCCTTGGAAGGAAGTTACTCTGTGAGGTCCATACCCAAGGAGTGAAGCATCTTCAGAAATTGTTTGGAATTTTTCTGTGTGGAAGACTCTTCTCTTCGCCTCATGATTTTCCTAAAGTCAGTTATTTCTTGAGGGAAAGTGATTTTTACTTTACTTAAGTGAATTTTAAGGCTACGTAAAGGCCAATGAACTAGAAATCTGGAGACTCGGGACTTAGTTTGAATTTTATAACACTGTGATCTTAGGCAAGTCATCAATCCTTCCTCCCCAAAGAAAACATGTATTCCAGGCACCATTAATATTAAATACATAAATATGAAACTAATACTGAGTTTAATATTAACATCATCTTACGCCTCATTAACTTTGGCAAGCTTGGGCGAGCAATATGAAAGGATTCAAGTTCATTTCCGTAAAATCTGATAAAGTATGTAATGAAAATATCTGCTTATTTTACTTATCTAGTCACCTGGGGGAGAAGGACTGAAAAAAGTCACACCTCCTCTACTGGTTCTATCTCTGGCAGCCATGCTTCTAATGTTGCACATAGTAGCTGATGCATTAATGTGAAAACATAACTCTTTTCCTCTGGGAGTCTCATGGCCCTTGCTTCACTTTTGCTTCTAAGCTACTGTGTTTAAATTGTCCCTTTGGAGTGTACCCAGTTTGGAAGAGCCGTGCAATGTCCAATAAAGTGGTTAAGAAATTCTGCCAACACCAAAAGTATTTAAGCGTTATAAAAAAAAAGAGAGGAGATAAATCCACAACATTCCATTTTTAAGAATCTGCTCCTTGTTCTTATTTCATTCTTCAATTACCTCCCTGTGGGAGGGCACAAGATGCTCCCAAGGGCATAGAACCCTGAAGATGCTTCGTCAGTGGGAACAAGAATGGGGTCAGTTTATCAGTTATGGTGGCATTTGTTCCCCCTGCCCAAATAAGGTGACTTTGCCCAGGTAAATATTAGCGCCAATTTCTTGTTAAACTGTCTTCACCAAATATTCTGAAAGTCAATGCCGTTTGTATAAGTGCACAAGTGTCTGTGGGGCTTCCCAGGTGGCTCAGGGTAAAGAATCTGCCTGCCGATACAGGAGACACAGGTGACGCAGATTCAATCCCTGGGTCGGAAAGAGCCCCTGGAGAATAAATGGCAGCACACTCCGGTACTCTTGCCTGGGAGATCACACGGACAGAGGAGCCTGGTGGGCTACAGCCCATGGAACTGAAGCAGAGTCAGACATGACCGAGCGCATGTAAGTGTCTGTAGACAGCTTTGCATCCGTGTCACATCCAGCCCTCACAATGAACTCCGGACGTGAAGAATTTTTCTATTCTCATTATATGTGGATAAACTGAGACTCAGAGAGGTTAAGTGCTTTAAGTGTCACACTGAAGTACCAGAGCAGGATCCCCAAGTCCAGGCATTGACTCCAAATCCTGAGTGCTTTTCCCACGGCATCCCTCACAGTCTGGACCGTAACCCTGGGTGGGCCGACACCTTGCCCATTTTCTTTCCTCATGTGTCCCCAGGACCTAGAACCGTGTAGTAAACACTTAACAAATATTTGCTGAATGAATGAATATAATTCCTGCCGTTATTAATTTTACCATCCAAGAATATGTTTAAAAGACACTTCATTCAACAAATATTTACTCAGTGCTCACTATGTACTGAGCACTTCCCACATTTATTAAAAGTAGGGAAGAAACCAATGTTAATGATCAAAATGCCCCTTCAAGGAACTTTGCTAATTTAAGTATTTTAATTTTTTCCTATTAGTGTGCCTTGGTGGGGGGCTGGGGTCAGGGACTGGAAATGAAAGGAAAACAAGAATAGTGTCAGGAGAGGTTAATGATGTGAAGCAAGGGAGGGTGGGACAAGATTCAGACTAAAGGAGAAGAGACTTAGACATCTGTAATTCTTAGTAAACACATTAAATTCTGCACTGGACATGGACTGAAGGCAGATAAATGAACTACTCAACCACCACCCCCCCCCCCCCCCNACATGCTCATGTGCACCCCCCAACCCCCCCGACAGTCTGGTTTGTTTTATTCTGAGGGCAGTAGCTTCAGTTGGTGTCCTGAAGCCCAGTTTCATCCAGCTACCACTCTCCCTCTTACTCCCCAAATGCCTCCTCATGCATGAAAGGGACCCCCTCATTTGTGGGCCCTGTTCTCTCCATCTCTTACTCTGAAGCTCCAGAGATGGTTTAAATAGTACCACTTAGAGGTTTCTTGGTGGAATGATGAGAACCCTGAACTTGGACTCACTGTGTGACCTTGGACAGGGCCCTTCCCCTCTCCAGGCCTCAGTGTCCACATCTGTAAAAGGGGCTCAAGAACATGATTTCATTCCACTCTAGGAAGCTCTTCTAGGACAGGAATGACCACTGCCTTGGCATCACCTCTGTTATGTTCTCTTAAGAAAAAAAAAGAGTAAGCAAATACAAAAAGAGGAAAGGGAGAGTGAGAGAAGCAAGAAAAACTGTCAAAAGTCACAATTTTGACAGGAAACTGGTTCTGTGCAGCCTTCCCACATCTAGCTAAATATGCAGACTCCCTTTTAAAAGATGCTATTCTTAGGCTCTCTGCACATGAATGTAAATAAGTACTCAAATCAAAACTTGAATGCTAACCGCACAGTTGAAATACAAGCGAAATAAACCACACATCAAAACCTTGCCCCTGTGAGCCAGACGTGTGGACGTTTTCAACTGCTTCTCTGCAGAAACAGTTTTCACAAACACACCACAGTTGCTGCCTCTTCTGGGGAGAAAGTGGAGCCCAACATAATTTGAGGAAGGACTATGGGTCTTTTGCTCTTTAAAGCAAAATGAACCTGAAATTACCGTATTATCAATTGTGTTACTTTTGACTATTGTTATTGTTTGTTTAGTTTGCGACCCCATGGACTGTAGCCTGCCAAGCTCCTCTGTCCATGGGATTTCCCAGCCATGAACACTGGAGTGGGTTGCCACTTTCTTCTCCAGGGGATCTTCCCTACCTAGGGATCAAACCCGTGTCCCCTGCATTGGCAGGCGGGGAAACCTGGTCTATCTTCTGTATTTGTTCCTGGCACTAACTAGCAGAACCGGTTGAAGGTCTACAGTGGCTCTGTACCCCGGGTGGACCGCACATTTGTTGTTTCCAGAGCCCACTGTGATATGACGTTTAATATTTTGTGTGTGTTGACTATGGCTCATGGAGCTGCCATCTTCAGAAAACAACAAATATCTTTCCATGGGGCAATTCCTAGTTTCACATCTAAAGTTATTTTTAGGCGCTGTCATATTTTTTCTCCTAACTTGCCTAGGTTTTGCCGAGGTTTAGCATATCCAACCAGGAACCACTCATGAATTTTAGTTACCTTATAGAGCCCTCCTACCACCAGCTTTACTGATGAACATTTCAAGCAAGAACACAGTGTCTTGGGATTTGAAGAAGCCTTAAAGTCCATCTAGTTCAATGCTGTTATTAGATGATCATAACAGTGAAGGTTTAGACACTTCTAGGAACAGAAAATTCAATACTTACTAAGGGAGCTCATTCCATTTTGAACAACTCTGAAGACAGAGAAATGTTCAGCAAAAATGTACTGTCTTCTACTTTCCACCTAGCGGATCTAGTTGTCCCCTCTTGGCACCACTGGAGCAGGCATTATCTCACTATTATATTCAACTCGAAGGTTAAGTATTGAAGACCACAAAAGGTCCTCCCCACATCTTCTGCTTCAGCCCATGTCTTCCTTCCCTCAAGCTAAACATTCCCAGTTTCTATGGAACAGTCCTATCAAAAACTAATTTGAGTGGCTTCCCTGGTGGTCCAGTGGTTAAGAATTCGCCTTGCAATGCAGGGGACATGAGTTCGATACCTGGTTGGGGAACCAAGGTCCCACGTGCCGTGAAGCACCTAAGCCTGAGCACTGCAACTAGAGAATTCGTGCAACAAAAACTCCCACATGATGCAGTGAAGATCCTGCAGCTTCAACAAAGACCCTATGCAGCCAAATACAGAAATATTTAAAAAACAGAGTCAGCATTTAAACACCCTTTGCCACAGAAGCTCATCAAAAGCTTCCCATCCACTGTAATTAATTAATTCAGCATTACGATTGATCATTGCCGTTCATGATAGAAATACAACATTGAAACAAATGCAGCCATGACCTTGGACAGCTCAGACATAAAGAAAGAATCACAAGTGTATAATTCAGGTGTGCTCGGACCAGCGGTGACACAAGAGGGGAATGAATGGGAACCAGGACACAGCTGCACAGAGGAAATGTGCAAATGAGATGCTGAAGAAAGAGTGGGAATTCACCAGGAAGAAGAGGGGAGCACGTTTCTGCTTGACTCCCCTGCCTCGGAGGACTGTAAGGAGTTTGGGGTGGTCTGAGCCCAAGTGAGGAATGGAGAGATGAGGAACTCTAGCAAAGGCTCAGGAACGTGTACATGGCAGAGTTCACAGCACATTCACCAACACCCACCAGGAACAGAAACCATTTGTTCTGTTGATACCCATGAGCCGAATCAAGTGTAAGTGGCTCTTTTGACCGAGCAGCTGCGATTTTCATTTGGAAGTGATACATAAATGAGGCAGTCTCCCTAACTAACGGCCGTGTGTCTACTGGGGGTTGACAGGTCCGTTGAGCTTTTGCATATTTCAGAAAGGCTGGTGACTCTCTGCTTTTGAATTATGCAGCTGAGTAGTCCAATCAGCAATGTCAGAATATGGAGAGGAAGCACTTGGGGGCCCCCGACTGTGTCCCTCGGTTCCTCCCTGATGTGTGGAGGCAGAAACAGCCCAGGACGTCAGCACCCGCTGTTCCGGGGCTTTGTGGATCCAGTTCTCCCTCTGTGTTCAGTCCCTGTCTCCCAGGACTGGAGACAGGTTGGATCCGATACTTCTTTTTTTTGGAGGTACCTCCCTCCACCCCCCCCCAGATGCCCCATGAGGCAGAGCTGACATAATCCCCAATAGGGGCATCTCCCTGATTGCAGTGCCGGGTGGGGTGGTGAGGAAGTCCCAGAGAACCTAACCATTACTGCATCTCTTCTTCCCCGCCATCCTCCAGGGCACCCCAGGAACATCAAATGCTCCATCCAGCTCCCCGATTCTTGCTGAGACCCGCTGGGACTCAGCGTCGCTCAGTGGCCCAGGGGTCCCGGGCTTACCTGGTGGGGGCACTGATGTCTCCCAAAACAGCAAAGCTGTGTAACTTCACCCTCAAGGCCCTGGTCGTTAGAGGTTTATTGTCTTTTCAGACTGAGCTGCCTTCAAGATCTCAGGTCATTTCAGTTTAAAGGTCAATGGATAAAAAACGGTGGGGATATATGTATACGTGTGGTTGGTTTATTTTGCTGTGCAGTAGAACTAACAACATTGTAAAGCAACTATATTCCAATAAAAATTAACAACAAAAAAAGCAAATTCCAAGAATTTCTTTTAAAAATCTGCTATATACATTCATGTGTAGTTTTTTGTGTGGACACAGCTGTCAACTGGTATAAATACTGTATTCATGACTGCCAGATCAATGCTGAATATGTTCAGTATTGTAACAAGTTGACAAATTGTCTTCCAACGTGGTATTATTTAGCACCATCAGCAATAAATAGTCATTTCTTTTGCTCCAGAAAAGAAAAAAAAATTCTATGGATTCAACTAATGCTGAAAATCAATAGTCAAACATGGACTTTTGTCATATTTAAACCAACACACAGTGGACAAGCTGTTATAAAGGATTCAAAAGATAAGGTAGAATAGCCATTGCCCTTTAGAAACTTGGTATCTAATTGGGGAGACAAAGCGTAAGCAAAATTACATGTTCTTTTTAGTTTTTGTTTTGTATTTATAATTTCTGCGGCCTACTCCTCCCCACCCCCACCCTGTACTTTGTATTTTTCAGGCTGATGCTCTAAGTGGACAAAGGCAGGCGGTTACATAACAGGAAATGGCAGAAACTGAAGATTTTCTGGTTCGGGAGCTACATCCAGGTAACATCCCTTCACTATCCCCTGAAGAAGTGAGCAAGAACTGTTTACCATTATATATGTGTGTGTGTGTGTGTGTGTGTGCGCTAAGTCGCTTCAGTCGTGTCCAACTCTTTGTGACCCCATGGACGGTAACCCACCAGGCTCCTCTGTCCATGGGATTTCCCAGGCAGGAATACTGGAGCGGGTTATCATTTCCACCTCCAGAGGATCTTCCTTCCTGATCCAGGGATCCAAATCCCATCTCCTGCATTGCAGGCGGATTCTTGACCACTGCGCCATTGGGGAAGCCCTGAGCAGTAGCTATTTGCCATTATAACCAAGGGCAAAGGGGTTTGGACCGTATTAAACTATCATCATTTTTCGCTGCTCTTTATGGAGAAGCTGCTTTCTCACAACATATTTTAACGGTGGATGTATATCTTATTTCAATAACAACTAAAAGAGCCTACTAATAATCTAGTGGGTTGTCTGACCAGAAATTCAAGTTGTGTCCCCCACCCTCCTTTAAAAGTTCAAATAAATAAATAAAAGAAGGTTCCAGGAAACCATCTTGGATTTTCCGAGGGTAGCCGGCTCTCAGAATGGAGAAGGCAAGGCCCTGGAATCATTTGCGTGCTTTCTGAAGGAGAGCTGTAGGGTGAGCCCCACTGGAGGCCCTGAGGGCGGCCTCCCTTCCTAGAAGCCTGGGTGTAGGGCCCCCAGCGGCAAGGAGGGAACTTCCCCTGGGAAGATGCTGCGAAGTAACCCCTGGGTGTATCACAACCTCTGTGTTTTGAGAACTGAAGAGGAAAAACGTTCTTACCCCTGGGGATGAACTCCCTTAGGGGCAAGGGTCAGGAGGGGTAGCGCTGGTATCTGAGACAGGGCCGGGCAAGCTAACTGCAGGAACTGCAGCTTTAGGGCCCCTGGGGCGAGGTTAGTGCTGAAGGTGTGGGGCGGCCTGCTGGGAACGTCTGCGGCAGGTTCCCTCCAGGATCTGGTCAGAGCGCCTGTATTGAGACGGTTGCCCAAAGCGCCACCTTGTGGCGGCAAGAAGCGATGGCAGCGGATTCTACGGTAGGCTTCCTGGGACAGCCCACCCACTCTGCTCTCTGCTCCAGTGTCCGGTCCATAAATTCTGTCGGACTATTTTGTGACCCCGCGGACTGTAGCCTGCTAGGCTCCTCTATCCATGGGATTTCCCAGGCAAGAATATTGGAGTGGGCTGCCAATAAATCAGTGTAATATAGTGGAAAAGGGAAGGGAGTGCTGGAACAATTACAGGGAAGAATAAGAGAAATGGCCAGCGCACACCCCTTCATTCTGGTTACAGTTTAGTATGAAACCAGTCGGGAAGATCCCCTGGAGGAGGGCACGGCAACCCACTCCAGCATTCTTGCCTGGAGAATCCCATGGACAGAGGAGCCTGGCGGGCTGCAACAATTACAGGGAAGAATAAGAGAAATGGCCAGCGCACACCCCTTCATTCTGGTTACAGTTTAGTATGAAACCAGTCGGGAAGATCCCCTGGAGGAGGGCACGGCAACCCACTCCAGCATTCTTGCCTGGAGAATCCCATGGACAGAGGAGCCTGGCGGGCTGCAGTCTGTAGTTCACGGAGAGCTGGACACCACTGAAGCAGCTTACCATGTATGCACTACGATTAAGTGTTTTAAACCCCAGATGAACTACTTTCTCCTTCCCACCTGGTTTTTCATTTTAGCCATTAAAGGCAAAATGTAAAACCTTGCTGTTTTACCTGACTTCTCAGTGTTTGCTCTAGTTGAAAAGTAAGTTTCCAAACTTTGATCAGACTAATTGCTGCTCCTTACAAAGTTGAAATAAAGGCCAGGATACATGGGCTGTACTGAGACTCTTTTGTGCTCGTGGCTAAGATCCTATGCAAACGTTGTTTAAACAAAAGAGTTCCTGAGTCACAGGGTCAAGATTAAGGCCCTCCATCCTTTTACTCTTTCCACAGGCAGGTGTGAAAACACTCTGGAATTCCAAGGCACTGTTTATAATGTATTCTAAAGTGTTCTTCAGCAAGCCACTGGCCTAGCAGCTGGAGTAGAATTTTTTTAGTAGTTAAAAATTATCTGCTTTATTTTGGTAAAACTTTTTGGTAGATTTTCTAGGATTTCACTTGATAGCTTTAATTATAACATATTTAAAACTTTTTCTTTTTTAAACTCTGGGATGAATAAAATAGAAGAATAATTTATAAACATCTTCCAGAATATTAAACCATAATAGATAATAATTTAAAGTAATAAGACTGTAATTGTGCATCGAAAAACATGGGACTTGTGTCCATTCTTGGCTTCTAGTTATTGCTCTGTCATTTGCTAGCTCTGCGCCCATACAACAAATCTCTTGATTTCTCTACATCTCAAGCCATATATATTTTACATTGCTTCCCAGCTCATAAATCCTGTGATTCTGTCACCCCCCTTGTTATCAATATCAAGATTCAAAAGTTTAACCTACAGTGGATTTCCTTACTTAAGCTAAATTACTGAAGTTAGACATTGATATTTTCTTATTATAATCAACTGCTTTGGGGACTTCAGAAAACCTTAACTGCTTCCATTTTAAAAAAAGCTTTTAATTTTATATGGAGTATAGTTGATTAAAAATGTTTTGATAGTTTCAGGTATACAACAAAGAGATCGATCTGTACCTATACACATGTCCTTTTTCAAATTTTTTTCCCATTTAGGTTGTCACAGAGTATTGATCAGAGTTCCCTGTGCTATACATTAGGTTCTTGTTAGTTATCCATTTTCTTTTTTTAAAAATTTTTATTGGGGTATATTGGCTTTACAGTATGTGTTAGTTTCTACTATATAGCAAAGAGAATCAGCCATACGTGTACATATATCCCCACTTTTAGGATTTCCTTCCCTTTAAGGTCATCATAGAAGCACTGAGCAGAGTTCCTTGTGCTAAACAGTAGGTCCTTGTTTGTTGTCCATTTTAAATGCATGTACCTGTATTTACATGTACATGTGTGTACATGTCCATCCCAAACTCCCTAGCTAGCAGCATATTTTTTCTTCTTCTCTGCCCCTTTCTCTCTAGCTCTAGCCACTAAGCCAGCAACCACTTGATGTTTAGTTCTAAGGCAGTCCTTAAACTGAGCCAGGATAAATCCTTTGCGTGGAGCTTACTTGTAAAGTTAGAATGTCTGAGATAGAAAGGTCTACGGACAAGCTCTTTCAACTCCTTGTCACTGCGTGAGCAGGAGGGGGCCAAGATTCAGGCCTTGGCAGACAGCTCACCCTGCACTGCAGTGCTCTGGGGTGTGAGCTGGCTCCAGAACACTGTGGAATTTGTGCGGAAGACGCCAGACTGAGGCCGCCTGAGCTGTCTGGGAGACTCGGGCCGGGAGCCCGTGCGGGCGCTTGGGCCTTCTGCTCAGCTTGCCATCCCGGGTCCCCGAGTGATGCTCCCTTTCTGTGGCTCTTGAGGGGAGAGGACCTCCCAGTGTCACGCTCAGTTTGGGGGCCTCTTGCCCTTATATGAGCTTAGAGAGTTATGACTCTTGGGGTCAACTGTTTTTGCAGGTCCCCTCACGGCCATTTGCTAAGGTTTGTGCCACCCCCAGGAGCTCTGGATTAGGTCATTTCCAACAGTCTTGACCCCCTACTGTCCCTTTCTCACCAGGTGAATCTAAAACCCATCCCGGGACTTCTCTGGTGGTCCCGTGATCAAGAATCCACCTTCCAAGGCACGGGGCGTGGATTTGACTCCTGCTTGGGGAGCTAAGTTGCTACATGCCGTGGGCAATTAAGACTACGTCCTGCAACTATTGAGCCCGAGCACCACAACTTGAGAGAAGCCTTTGCACCACAATGAAAGATCCCGCATGCCACAAAAGGACCCAATGCAGCCAAAGGAATTCTTTTTTTAAAAAGTTCAAATACTACATATGATTTTAATGTATATTTAACTGTTTTGCAATGGTGCTCAGTATATCCTTATATTTCATATTTAATTATTATAGCTTAAAGAATAAACATGTAACCAAGACCCAGCACAATAAAAAAAAAAAAAAAACTAAACCATCTAAACACACTGTTTTGGTTTTCAGTTATACCCTTTCCTGAGGCTTATGGAGCCTCCTAGCCCTTCACTTTGTAACCCACAGAAACCACTGAAGGGAATGAACCTCTGCAGGACTTCAAAGATTTGCTTCTTGGTAACTTTTTTCCTTGCCTATGTAAGGAAGCAGCTACTAACATCTTTAAGGGAGGAAGGAGGAAAAAGCCTCAACCCCCAATTTAATCTCTGAGGGGCATCCACTTGGAAGGCACCCTCCACCACTCTTGGATTCCTTCTATTTTTGTCAACTGACTCATTATACAGATGAAAAAGCTGAGGCTCGGGGAGAAGAAGGGATTTGCCTTGGTTACATGGCCCATTTTGTCCTCTCATTCTGCTCCTGATCAATTTCCTGGGTTGCAAAGATCTCCCTGAGGCCTTTTTCCACCCACACTGAGCCATCTCAGGCTTCCCTCTACTCTCTCGGCACCTGGTGAAGAATATCCAGCCATCTTGGCTTCCCAGGATTCACAAACAGGAACTTTTCATGTCATCTTGACTTATCTTCTGGGGAGATAGGTTGGGCTGCATTTTGGAACTAGATGCAAAGTCCTGGGACTCTGGGAATTGGGAATCAGACTGGAATGACCCAACAGGGCTGCTTCTGAAATGAGCTCACAAACAACCAGGGCTGGCAGGGATCCTTCTAGCCTCTTGGGGTGTGTGTATTGATAGAGGTCAGGCAAAAACAGGGACCCCTGAACAACACAGGGATGAGAGTTGACGACCCCCCCTTCACAGTCGAAAATCTGCATATAAGTTGACTGTGTTTTTGGTCCACGGTACACCATCCCCCCAAGACCTATAATTTTATGTGTAATTTTATGTAATTCCTGTTTCTTTCTAGTGGATGATGACATATTTAAAGAACCAATGAGAAAAAGACGACGATCCGATCGAGACCAGAGGTTTCGAGCCTTTCCCTCCGTGGAACAAAGTGCCCTCAAGGAATGTGAGTGCCCTGAAAATGCTCTATCACTTGTTTAATGCAGCTCTGTTCTTTCCCAGTTGTGTTAGCATCCTCAAAAAGAAGAGAAGGGTACTTGAAAAAGCAGGATGGAACATCTTTGAATGATCTTGACCCCGTAAAAGGAGGCCTCGGGACTTCCCTGGTGGTCTAGTGGTTAAGATTCTGAGATCCCAGTGCAGAGGGTCCAGGTTTGATCCTTGGTCGGGGAACTAGACCCTACATATTGCAACCAAGAGTTTGCATGCCGCCACTAGGACCCAATACAGCCAAATAAATAAATATTAAAAAAAAACCAATAGGAGGCCTCCTAGTCTCTGCAGAGATACTGTGATCTGACAGTTTGTCTCTCAAGACCTGGAGAGAAGGCTTGTTACAAAAATAATCTCTTCCTGATTAACGCTGTGAAAATGGTTGGTTTGGTGCTTTTGAGGGTATTTACAGGATGTCCTTGCAGTTTTCTTCTATCTATGACCACAGGAGAGAAGACTGTAGAGGTGCTGTAGCCCATGGTGAAGTGGACGCTGACTGGTACTATCTTGTGCTTCAGAGCTGCCTTGTTCCTTGGGGGGCTCTCGTCATCAATGATTGCTCTTTCCCACAATCTGTGACCTCTCCCATCAGATAACTTGCTCTTTTGTTTAACTGGCTTTTCATTTCACCTCCCCAGCCTGCCTTTTCTGCAGTGTTAAGCAGACTCCCCCTGTGGGGACCAAGCGCTTGATCCCTGCCAGGTATTAATGTGCTTAGTCACTCAGTCGTGTCCGACTCTTTGCGACCCCATGGACTGTAGCGCACCAGGCTCCTCTGTCCATGGCGATTCTCCAGGCAAGAAGAGTGGGTTGCCATGCCCTCCTCCAGGGGATCCTCCCAACCCAGGGGTCAAACCCAGGTCTCCCGATTGCAGGTGGATTCTTTACTGTCTGAGTGACCAGGGAAGCCTGCCAGGTATTAATACATCCCTGCTAATACATCTCTGTTGATTCCAGATGAAAAACTGGAGTCTCGGACCAGAAGAGTTTTGAGCAACACTTACCAGAAACTTATTCAGTCCGTGTTCCTGGATGACAGCATCCCCAACAGTGTCAAGTACCTCATGTGAGTCTGGTATCAGCTACCATCAGATCTTCCTTGGCTGTCTTTCTTTAGGTGGTGGTAGAGGCTTTTCTGCAATAATAAAAGAGAATTTCTGGTTAGGAACTAAGCAAAGAAAGCCAGAAAGTTCTGTTGCTGTGGGCCATTTCTCTTAACACTGGTAGTTGCCACTCACTGCGCTGTCACCGTTGCTAGGTAACCTGCTAAAGATTTTGAAACCAGAAGGTGAACGTGCTTTACATTCATACATCAAATTCCATTTAATTGTCCCAAAACTCCTAATAAAGTAGAAGCCATGATTATCACCCCACTATTTTCCTAAAATTGAGGCTCAAAGAGTCCAAGACATTGACCAAAGTCACACTGCTGATGAATAAAAGGGGTGGAATCCAGCCCAGGCTGTGAGACTCTGAGCCTGTGCCATCAAAGGTCCTGTCCAGCTGCCTTGAAAGATTTAAGTGGGGTCGAGGCTACATCTCCTGCCCATCCTGCTACATCTCCTCCCTGAGTAAGACCCTCAGGGTTGCTCCTAATAACACTTCTCACCACTGTATAAAGTTCACGTCTAAGATCAAGACTGTGTAATTTTCATGGAACATGAACAAGGAGACGTCACATCTATATAGACATTGCAGAGTTTGTGTGGAATTATCATTTCTTCTTCTCGTGTGCTCAGTCGTGTCCTTCTCTTCGCAACCCCATGGGCTGTAGCCCGCCAGGCTCCTCTATCCATGGGATATCCCAGGCAAGAATACTGGAGTGAGTTGCCATTTTCAGCTCCAGGGGATCTTCCCGCCCCAGGGATTGAACCCGTGTCCCTTGCCTCTCTTGCATCGGCAGGTGGATTTTGTACTACTGTACTGCCTGGGGAGAATTATCATTGCCAAGTGTCTTTGCACATTCTTTTTTTAAATATCAGATTTTTTTCTGTGCTGAATCTTGGCTGCAGCACATGGGCCCCTGCTTGTGGCATGCAGGCTTCTCTAGTTGCAGCACATAAGTGTCTCTAGTTATGGCACATGGGTTCAGTTGCCCCGGAGCATGCAGGGACTTGGTTCCCCGACCAGACCAGGGATCGATCCAACCCACACCCCCTGCATTGGAAGGCGGATTCTTAACCACCCAATTAGGGAAATCCCTTTTTGCATAATCTCATTTGATCCTCCTCTGTATAGTAAACAGGGCTGAATATTCTCCTTTGACCAAAGAGACTGCAGAGACTCAGAAAGCCGGGGTGACTTGACCGGGATTAGAGCTCAGCTGCTGTATGTTCTGACATTCTCCCAACCTTGCTTTGATGACCTTGACAATGAGCGTTTTAAAACTGATCTAGAAACCGGCTTCTTGCTTTGATTGAAAAGCCATCATTGGACCCCATCTACATTGGATTATTCGGAAGCACTGGGGCCGGGAAGAGCTCCCTGATCAATGCCATCATCCAGCAAGCCATGTTCCTACCTGTGTCTGGAGAAAGTATATGTACGTCATGTATCGTTCAAGTGAGCTCAGGCTGCTGTGAGCAGTATGAGGCCAAAATCCACCTTCTCTCCGACCAGGTAAGAGCTGCCTGCCTCCTTCCTTCCTTCTCCCCTTCTCCGCTCCCTCCCTGTTATCTTCTCTTTCTCCTTTCTCCCCCCTTCCTCCTCCCTTTCCTTCGTTCACTCCTTCTGTTTCTCCCTCCTTTCTTTCCCATTCTCCCTATTTTCCTCTCTCTCTCTCCATCCTTTCGTCTTCCTTCTTTCTGTCATCCCTCTTCCTTTTCTTTCTTTCCCTCTCTCTCTCTTACAGATTCACATTATATTCCTTGTAAACATAGCTCACATCTTTGTTAAACGAAAAGCACATAGCCCCTACACAATGAGAAAGTCCAAAAGAACGAGATGGGGGATCTAGCTTGGGTGCTGCCTCAGCTGGTTATGGGACTTTGGGCAAGACGATTTCCTCTTTGGGTTCCTGTTTCCTCATTGACCAAAGAAGCAGGATGGGTTAGATGCTACCTGCCTGGATTAGATGATCTTAGATTTCCTGGAGCCCCCTGCCCCCCACAGGCTCACTGGACTTTGCCAATGTCTGCTGTATCTGGGTCGTGGTGGGCGGGGGGCTTGGGCCCGCTCTGTCTTGGCAGGAGTGGAAGGAGGAGCTGAAGAACCTGACGACACTCCTGCACAGGACGGAGGAGTTGGGTGGGGAAGAGGAGGATGCGTGGGACAGGGGTGATGCGGTGGAGGAAGCTGTTTGGAAGCTGCAGATGTTTTATGGAAACGGAGCGGAGGGAAAGAGCTACGAGGAGTTACTAAGGGCCAAGCCCAGAGGAAAGATTCCCACCTCCAGAGTCATCTCCCTCAAGGCAGAAGAGGTAGCTTCAAATGTTTCTCCTATGAGCCTCAAGGGTAATAATTGAATCCGTTTAGGGGATTTGTGCAAGGCACAAGGTTCTCTCTCTCTCTCTTTTTCATTTTTATTTATTGACTTATTTTTGGCTGTGCTGGGTCTTCGCTGCTGCGCGGGCTTGTCTCCAGTTGAGGCAGGTGGGGGCCACTCTCTAGTTGTGGTGCTCAGGCTTCTCACTGTGGCAGCCTCTCCTGTTGCAGGGCATGGGCTCTGGAACCCAGGCTCAATAGTTGTGGCACTCAGGCTTAGCCACCGAGGCATGTGGCATCTTCCCGGGTCAGGGACTGAACCCACAGCTCCTGCATTGGCAGGGGGACTCTCTATCGCTGAGCCACCAAGGACACCCCCCAGCTCCGCTTTTTACAAATATTTTTATTTACTTATTTATTTGGCTGCGCTGGGTTTTAGCTGCAGCACACAGGATCTTTGATCTTCAACGCTGCAGGTGGGATCTAGTTACCTGACCAGGGATTAAACTCAGGGCCCCTGCATTGGGAGTGCTGGGTCTCAGCTGCTGGACTAGCAGGGAAGTCCCAAGGCACAATGTTTTATTGGAAATAAGTTGGTACCAAAATCAGAAGTAGCCATAATTTTTCATTTGCAGTCAAATAGGAATTTTTCCTGTCTGAGAGGGGAGCTTTTGTGCACAGGAAAGACTGTTAATAGTTACTTGAGGATTAATTAAGGATGTGTTTTGCAGCCAAAAAAAAACCAAACCAAAAACCCAAGTTCATAACAGCTTAAACAAATTGGGATTTATCCATTGTCTCACATAAGAAGTCCGGGGGCATTTGGGTTTGTGGGTTGGTTCAGGGACTCAGCGACGTCGAGATCAACATACCTCTGGTCCCCCTGACCTACATCCTGGGGCCTCATTGTCACACAGTGGCTCCTGAAGTGCTGAACTTCTCAGCTAGCTTCATGGAAGGGACAAATGGCTAAACAGGGGGTACCAACCACGTCTCCTCTTTTACTGGCAAGTAAAAGCTTTCCTAGAAACACACCTAACAGATTTCCATGTAGATTTTCTTGGTCAGTACTGAGTCATGTGGGTTTTCTGAGCTGCAAGGGAGTCTCGGGGAACAAGAAGCTGACTTGTTGTGGTTGGCTGAGATCAGTCTCAATCCACTGCCTTCCCAAATATACAGTCAGTCAGGATGCCGCTGGCATGGCTGAAGGGCAGGGTGGATATTAGATAAGCAACTAGTAGAACCAAGCTCTCCTCACTTTTATGATCAATATTTTTTTTTTAGGCTCCCCTATCCATGGGATTCTCCAGGCAAGAATACTGGAGTGGGTTGCCATTCCCTTCTCCAGGGGATCTTCCCAACCCAGGGAGGGATCAAATGCAGGTCTCCTGCATTGCAGGCCATTCTTTACCATCTGAGCCACCAGGGAAGCCCATAATTAAAACTAATTAACGGGTAGACAACAAGGTCCTCCTGTTTAGCACAGGAAACTATGGTCAATATCCTGTGATAAGCCACAGTGGAAAAGAGTACAGTAAAGAGTCTATATATGTATGACTGAGCCACTAGTAGAAACCAAACACAACACTGTAAACCAACTATACTTCAATAAAATTTAAAAAGGAACCCCCCCTAGAATACAGACAGAGCATGTCCAAAGAAACACAATGATGACAAAACTGGTTCCTTTATCTGAATACATACAACTTACATCAAGGTGTCAAGGTAATATTCATTTCCTCACTACTCTGCACTTAGAAATATTCCTTCCCAGCGTGACAAATTTACCCATTTGAAACAAGACGAATGGAATCACCATCTCCAGGAGTGAGGGCACAAATTCAGACTTTGGGGCATGGATTATAGACAGGGGAAAGGGAATGTGAGTTTACTTCCTAGAATGGTTTGTCTCCACTAGTTTATTGAGTGGTATGTGCAGGCTAAGTTGCTTCAGTCATGTCTGACTCTTAGCGACCACATGGACCATAGCCCGCCAGGCTCCTCTGTCCATGGGATTCTCCAGGCAAGACTACTGGAGTGGGTTGCCATTCCCTCCTCCAGGGGATCTTCCCGACCCAGGGATTGAACCCACTTCTCTTATGTCTCTTGCATTGGTAGGCAGGTTCTTTACCACTGTCGCCAGCTGGGAAGCCCAGTTTATTGACTGGACCCATCTTCTTAGATAAAGCCCACGCTTTCTTAAGCCCAGTGCTTTTTCTTTTCTGTTGCCCTTATTGTAGTTTGTTTATTTTTAAATCAAAATATCTTAAAGAACTTTTATCATCTCTTCTTTCACAATTTTGTATTACTTGATTAGAACTGCTATCTTTTAAACAAATTTTTGTGGATGTGGGCCATTTTTAAAGTCTTTATTGCATATGTTACAATATATTTTCTGTTTTTTGGTTTTTTGACTGTGAGGCATGTGGGATCATAGCTCCCTGACCAGAAATTAAATCCATGCCCCCTGCATTGGAAGACAAAGTCTTAACCACTAGACTACCAGGGAATTCCCTTGATGTCTCTCTTCTTTCCTACCCAGATAGCAACACATTCTCTGATTTGATCTCAACTCTCTTAAGAATTTATCTTTCTTTCAGGGCCATTCTATAGATATTTATCAACAGTGACTGCATACATCCCAAATCTTCTGTCCTCTGAATTATCCCGGTGCGCATGAATATGTTTAGGGAAAAACGATAGGCTGAGAATGAGTCTTCATCTCACTCACCATGGTTAAAATATCATGGAAATGCCGGTCTGTCCATATATTCTTTCGAACTTAGAAGACAAACTTTTAAAACCTTTTGAAGATCAACTTCAGACCAATTTTCAACATAGAAAATATGGTCACCATTTCATGATCCATTTTCCACAGTCAGGACTTTCTGGTCATGAAAATGTTCACATTAGTTCAAAAATCCTCTCTCTCTCACACAAACTTAGAATATTGCAGGTGATTTCCATTGGTTTTAGAACTGGAATGGAATTTCGGAGATAAAATCATCACCCAGTGAAGCGATAATTTCCCTGAAGTTCTTTCCCACTGCTTCTGTTTTCTCCGCCTGTCTGTCAGTGTTAGTTAGAGGTCCCACTCTTTGTGACCCCCGGACTGAAGCCTGCCAGGCCCCTCTGCGCATGGGATTCTCCAGGCAAGAACACTGGAGTGGGTTGTCACTTCCTTCTCCAGGGGATCTTCCCAACCCAGGGATCGAACCTGGATTTTCTGCACTGCAGGTGGATTCTTTACCATCTGAGCCAGCAGGGAAGCCCAGAGGAGCTTGAACTTCCTGATCTCCCAGTGTTCTTTGTAGTTCTGAGTCTAGACCCTTCCAGGCAGGACCTCAGGCCTCCTGGGGCCTGTCGCCCAGCACCGCTCCTCACGTGACTCAGTGGACCTCTGCTGAACCTGAGGCCCAGCCCATCCAGGGCAGAGGTGCTGCAGACCGTCTGGTGCATGTGACCTTGTCCTTCTTCCTCAGGCAGAGGGGCTGTCTGTCAAGCTGGACCCCTACATCCGGACCCAGAGGAGAGACTGGGGTGGAGGATCCGCTGAGACACACATCTGGCCCTTGATCAAACTGGTGGAAGTGACCCTTCCCAAATCAGAGCTGATTCCAGAAGGGGTTGTGCTCGTGGACATTCCAGGCACAGGCGACTTCAACAGCAAGAGGGACGAGATGTGGAAAAAGGTGATCCTCTTCCACGGGGCTTCATTCCCTCTCTCTCCATCCCCAACGCTCTCTGTAAAGCAGCAAGGAATGTTCCACTTTCCGCTTAATGGATGTTATGAGCTCGACAGAGTTAAATTCTCCCATGTTCCAAGGCTCAGGGCAATGGTAGGATATGGGTGGCAACAGACATGGGGAGCGAGGAATCACGAGATAGGCCTGGGAGCCAGAACTGGAACTGTGGGACATGAGCAGGGCCAGCAACAGAGTGGCCCGAGTGAGCAGAGACAAGGTCAGAGTGAGACAGGGAGGGCGGCATTTGGGTACACAGCAGAGAAGCCGACAGCCACGCACCAAGGAACCAGAGGCTGCTCTTGTGTTTGGTTGTAAGGAGTTGTTGGTAAGTTGTTAAGTCATGTTGGACTCTTTGTGACCTTGTGGACTGCAGCCCACCAGGCTCCTCTGTTATGGGATTTCCCAGGCAAGAATGCTGGAGCCGGTTGCCATTTCCTCCTCCGGGGGATCTTCCCAACCCAGGGATTGAGCGCACATCTCCCGCACTGGCAGGCAGATTCTTTACCACTGAGCCACCTGGGAAGCCCTTGGGGGAGGTGGGGTGGGCTTTAAAACCAGGCTTCCTGGGGAAGCTCCAAGGGGGTGAGTGACAGAGAAAGAAAGAGCGCCTTAGGCAGAAGGCGCTCAGGCGTGCAGGATTGTGGGGCGGAACGCAGGGCAGAGGACAGGGCTGGAAGGGGCTGGAAGGGGCTGGGAGGGTCAGGAGAGGTCCAGGAGCCATTGTCAGCGCAGAGGCTGCCAAAAATCTCTCTGCTGGCCTGCTGCTTCCCTGGCATATGTAGACTTTAAATTCTGCAGATTTGTGCTAAATGAATGACTGTGGGCCAGGGGAGCTTTGCAACTGTGGTCTTCCATAAAGATCAGGATGGCAGCTTACAGATAAGCAGCCTGTGCCCTGATTTTACAGTTAAGGAAATGAAGGCGCAGAGACGGGAAGACCTTTGCCCAAAACCGCACAGCTACTGAGTGGCAGAATTTAAACCTGAGAGCAGATTCCTGCCTTCTCAGCTGAGGCTCTGTCTCTCAACCTCCAGAAAGTCCCCTAACAGTTCTTTTTTTTTTTTTAATTAATTTATTTTTGGCTGCGCTGGGTCTTTGCTGTTGTATGCAGGCTTTCTCTAGTTGTGAGCAGGGGCTAGTCGCTAGTTGCAACGTGAGGGCTTCTCACTACCCTGGCTTCTCTTGTTGCAGAGCATGGGCTTTCGGTAGCTGCCCATGCTTCAGAAGGGCTGCATGCACGGGCTTCAGTAGCTGCAACACACAGCCTCATTAGCTGTGGACCCTAGAAGGGGGAAAGCAATGGCACCCCACTCCAGTACCCTTGCCTGGAAAATCCCATGGACGGAGGAGCCTGGTGGGCTGCAGTCCATGGGGTTGCTAAGAGTTGGACACGAGTGACTTCACTTTCACTTTCCACTTTCATGCATTGGAGAAGGAAATGGCAACCCACTCCAGTGTTCTTGCCTGGAGAATCCCAGGGACGGGGGAGCCTGGTGGGCTGCCGTCTATGGGGTCGCACAGGGTCGGACACGACTGAAGCGACTCAGCAGCAGCGGCAGAGGGGGCAGGCCTCAGTAGTGGTGGTGCCTGGGCTTAGCTGCTCCGTGGCGTGTGGGATCTTCCTGGATCTGGGATGGGACCCATGTCTCCTGCACTGGCAGGCAGATTCTTTAGCTCTGAGCCACCCAGGAAGCCTCCCTAACAGTTCTTTAAGGTGGAGCCAGTCTCCCAGTGTCCTTCACCCTTGGTGGCCTGCTCAGGCCTGGCTGGGAGAGCCTTAGTTTCTGCAGGCTTTCAGGTCTCAGGGTGGGATCCGCTGCCTCCTTGAGTTCCAGGCCAGCGTGGGGAGTGGCAGCCTCGGGGGGTGGCCGGCCTCTGGCACAGGATGGAGTCGTGGTTGCTGCCAGTTCAGACACACCGGGCAGCTTATCAAAGGCCACTCAGACAGACGAGCCAGCAGACCTGGCTCAGAACCCGGGCTCTGAGGAGGTTGGGCTGAAGCGAAGCGATGGTTCCCAGCCTGCTCTGCTTGGCAACAGCTCCCCCACATTCTTGTGGTTTTGTGATATCCTCTCAGGAGAAGTTACTAGACTCCCCTCTATCCAGGGAGAACAGAATGCGACCGCTCTTGCCCACCCCTCCAGCTGCCAGGAGTGTCCTCCCTAAACTAAAACCAGGGACTCAAATTCCCCCGTGCTGCCACCAAAGTGTCACCCGACCTCTCAGAGGCCCATTCTCACTGCGGGGCCGGCAGGGGCCATCCCACCCGCTCCCGGTTCCAGAGGCTCTCGTCTTATAGGTCGGCCTTGGCTGGTGTTTTCTGTGATTTTAATTTGACCAACTCCTGGCAGCCGGGAGCTTTATGCAGGGCCTGAGATTTAACCACCGCAACTTTTGTGATTGAGGTCCTCTTTTGTTGGGTTTCCCTGCTGGCTCAGATGGTAAAGAATCTGCCTGCGATGCAGGAGACCTGGGTTCCATCCCTGGGTCGGGAAGCTCCCCTGGAGGAGGAAATGGCAACCCACTCCAGTATTCTTGCCTGGAGAATCCCATGGACAGGAGCCTGGAGGGCTATACAGTCCATGGGGCTGCAGAAGGCTGGACACGGCCGAATGACTAAACAATAACAGCAATTTACCAGTTCCAGGGGGAGTAAGGTGAAAGAGGCCCTGCGCTGGAGGAGCTGACAGGTTTCATCTTCCACAACGGGCGGAAATGTTTGGCGCTTCCCTGAGTTGGTTATAATTTGGGAAGTGGGAGGGAGAGATGGGTTTTCTTTTCCTGCCTGAATTTGAGTCCATCCATGTAGGGGAGGAGGTTCAGGACGCAGATTTGTGTGCCCTTAAGTCAATCCTTTGCTTCATGGGGTCTGTTATGTACCTTTTCTATAAAACAGTGAAGTCTGTTTGACTCTTGAGATGGGTGCTTTCAAAACAATGATCCATGAAGCCAAGAGGTTCATGGGCAGAGGATAGGGGGCTGCAGAGAAGATGGGGCTCCAAACCCTCCACCTCAATTTCAACTAAAGCTGCTCTACTTTTAAAAAATCAAGTTGGACCATTGGAATTCTTCCTAAGGTTTCATTGGGAAAGGGATCCACTGTTAAAAACAAGTTTGAAACCCCTGCTCTAGACCATGGTTTCTTAGCCCCAGCTCTTCTGACTTGGTGGTGGAGAGGGCAGAGAAATTCTTTGCTGTAGGGACCCAACGTCGGCATTATGGGATGTTTAGCAGCATCTGTGGCCCCTGCCCACTAGTGTCCCCTCAAGTCTGAACAGTTACAAATGTCTCCAGGCATTGTCAAAGGTCCACTAGTTAAGAACCAGTGGCATAGAGCAAATAATGATTTAGTTAGCAACTCACAAACTTGTCACACCTTTATGTGCAAAGTACTATTCTGAGGAATCATAAAACAAATTTAATCCTGGAGCTGGACCAGTTTTCCATTTATATGGAGAGATAAGATGGGTAAAACAATACAGTCAGAGAAATGTCACAACTGCTTGTCACATAAAAGTTGTATATTTGATAAAGCAAACGTATGCTATCAAGTCATCAAGTTACAATTTCGTGTTCAAGCATATGGGTTTCTGGCTCCCTGCTGCCACCTTCTGGTAGTATGCTGCATGTGCAGGGCAAGCCAGACATCAAAATAATGCTCCGCAGTGACAGCTTTGGGATAAGTGCATGACCAGGACTAGTTCTGGAAAAACAAGACTTTTCCCTAGGGGACAGCTTAGTAAATCAAGCTAGTGAGGGATCTGGGACTGAAGGTCTGATTTCTTGAATTCTATCAAAGACTAATGCCGCAAACATCTGTGAAGCTTCTAGTACGGGCAAGGTACTGCGTTTGAGGTGATACGGATTCCAAGCTGAATGATGTGGCCCCTTCCCATCCGGCACCTCGCAGTCTGGGTGGGGGACGGGGGAGGGATGCAGAGTGCCGACCGTGTGCAGTCTAGTAGCTGTCCGGTGGCTCTGCCTGAGAAGTACCAGTGCAGGTAAGTACAGGTGCTATGGGATGCAGAGATGGGGTGAACAACCTAGCCTCAGGGGGCCCTTGGTGATCTCAGAGGGCAAACAGAGGTCAAGCAGAGGTTGTGGCAAGGGCAAGGACCCCAAGATAGATGCGCAACTTACATCCAGGAATGTGAACGAAGCTCATGTGGCTGCTGCAGAGAGAGTGTACTGGCGGGGGTTGGTGAGAGCTGGGGCAGAGCACGGAGGACGGAGATGACACATTAAGGAAACATGTCCAGTATTCTTTTCTGGAGGCTCCTGTGGACAGGGAAGCCTGGCAGGCTACAGTCCTTGGGGTCACAAAGAGTTGGACAACTGAGCGACTAACACACTACAACCGAGGCACCACTTATGCTCTTAAACATGCTGTGGTCGTGTTTCACAGACCATCGACAAGTGCTCCGTGATCTGGGTGATCAGTGACATTGAGAGGATTTCCGGAGGGAGAGCCCACGAGGACCTTCTGAACGAGAGCATGAAAGCCTGCCAAAGAGGGTTCTGCAGGGACCTGGCCCTGGTGGTCACCAAGACCGACAAGCTCCACCTGCCAGAATATCTAAGGTACCGCTCTGGGCATGCAGGGATGCGGGCTTCCCTCTGTGGGTCCCAGGTGCTGTCACTACCGGAAGGACAGAGCTTTGACTCATGGGCACTGTGGACTCAGGCAAGAGACCATTGGTGATGAAAGAGATGCCCGGGTGACTTCTGGGCCATCGGGTAGGTTATCTTTAGAATCTTCCAGAGCAGCTGCTTAATGCCCAAGAGGATGAATTCTGCATAGCTCCAGGGGTACCACTCATGAGTCTGAGATGCAAACAGCAGCTCCTGGTATTTCACAGTGTGATGGACCTGCCTACCCCCACGGATATGGGAAGCGTAGATGCCCCACAGTGAGGAGACACTTCCTGTAACACTGTCTGGGTGGTACAGCTTTGAATTGTTAGAGTCTGTTTCAGATTTATTTAGGCCATCACAGCATTGACTAGAATTTCCTGTGCTACATAGTAGGTTCTCATGAACTATGTATTTTATACATAGTGTATATATATATGTGAATCACAGTCTCCTTATTCATCCCACTTCCCCATTCCCTGCCTAAAGTCCAGACGTTTGTTCTTTATGTCTGTGTCTATTTCTGCTTTGCAAATAGGTTCATCAGTACCATTTTTCTATTTGTTTTTCTCTTTCTGACTTGCTTCACACTCTGTATAATATTCTCTAAAATGTCCATCAACAGAGGTCTGCATCTTGACTGGGATAGGGGGTGAGGGCACAGAAAATTCCACCAGCAGTGAAATAACAAGAAATTAAGATACCATTATCAAATGGACCCTGGAGGTGGGTCAGAGCCTTTAGGCTGAAGAAAGAGCTTAGGGAGAGGAACAAAGGCATGGCTTATACGGTGCTTTCAGGGGAAGTCAAGACTGCCGTGACACGTCATGAGATAAGTAATTATTCCATTTTTCATTTCAGGGAAAGAAAAGTGGGAAATGTAAGTATAGACTACTTGTTTTATTTTTTAAAGCTCAATTGAGATATAACTGATAGACCAAAAAATGCATCTTGAGTTTGGACTAGTTATTTTTAAATTATACTTTTTATGACTAGTAGTATATGATTCGAACACCCGCACATTTGTCTGGGTTAAATGAAGAGCAGCCCCCTAAATGTTCATCTTATATTACTCTCTTTTTTTTTTTATTTTTTTTATTTTTTTATTTTTTTTATTTTTTATTATATTACTCTTTATGACCCTGCATTCTTTGCCATGCTGTTATTTCTCCTTATAATCCAGCAAGCTATTCAGAGTCAGCGAGAAGCTGTTTTAGAAAGAAATGAAATGATCAAGCTACAGAGGAATAAAATTCTCAAGGATAAACTAAAGGTGAGTGAACAGATTCTGTTATGCATTTTTCTGCTTTTCAACCACTCAGATTTTGAGACACAAGTGCCTGTTTGGGCAAAAGCTTTAAAGTAGATGATGTGTCTTATTATTAATTACTTTGTAACCTTAGGCAAATTACTGTACCTGTCTGAGCCCCCATTTTCTCATCTGTAAAGCTGGGAAATAATAATCTCTACTGCCTGGGATTGTTGGAAGAATTGAATGAGTGTATGGTTTACTGAGAACCATGAGCAGATAAAATCAGGGATTACCATGCAGTTTGAAGCGTGCTTGGCTAGAGGGATGCAGAGGGGCTGTGGGAACTCAGAGGAAGGATCCTCAGTCATGCTGGCAGTTGGGGTAGGTGGTGTTGAAAAGTTCAGGGAAAACTCCTCAGCCTCTTGAGTAGAATTTTAAAGAACCAGTGGTCTTGGGTGAGGAGAAGTAATAGGAAGAAGGGCATTCGAGACAGAAGGAAGAACGTGATTGAAAAAAATCTGCTATGCTGGGTGGACTACAGGCAAATAGGTCTGAACAGCTAAACAAAGGGCATATGCTGTGTTGGGATATAAGGTCCGAGCTCTATTTTTCAGTTTGAGTAATTGGTCTGTGAGAATCTTAGTGTTCCTCAAGTTATTTTTATTATTCTGTTACTAAAATAGTTACAAACATAAACTCCTTCCTGTGATAGTCTTTTGCAAGTGTGAACCTGACACCAACTTGAAGGTAAAATATGAAGAAAACAGCCCAAATGTCAGGTGTGATGGGTGAGGTGGTTTTGTGGAAATTAAATCTTCAGGGCTCGGTTTAATAGTAAAAGCAGGAGGCCTTGTGGCCAGTTCTATAGTTCACTGCTTTCTGTATTTTGACTTCAATTATGTTGATGCAGAAAATGTCTGGTGTACAATGTGGAACTGAAAATTGCAAAGCTTTTGTTTCTAATTCAGAATAATCAGACCTCATACATAAGCCAAGGTCGTCTACCAAGCAATTCTTGAATGCTGATTTTAATGAGGCAGTAAACTCAGAAGAGCTGTTCTTGTTCTCATTAATTGTGTAGGACATAATTATATTGTTTCTGGAAGTAGAAACATAAAATACTGGGTTGGCAAAAACCTGAATGAACTATTTGGCCCAGCCAATACCTCAGTTTATAATTCATGATTATATCTACTGCTAATAAATGTGGCAGACTGGTGTATATGAGGTAGGGTCTGTGCAAAAATGTCAGCTTGCAGGATGCCTGTGGTTCAGACTCTTAATGGACAAGTTCTTTTAGGTCTGCATGCCTGCCCCTCTGATGGCTGCATAACACCTTCATTCTCCAGCCATCCTTTTTTCAGTTTGAATTGTTGTGAAACCTTTACTTGTCCTGCAGGCCTTCATTTGGAGCATATTTAATTTAGCCATGGAAAAAAGGAGGCAGAATTTTATTATATAGCCATTCATAGAAATGTCTATGCTTATTTAATTATAAAAATGAAAATTAAGAAAAAATATTGATGGAAAATGACAGACTTCTGGGACTACACTTATTGATCTCAATTTGGAAATATTTTAGAAAGGTGCTTTTCTCAATGGTATGAAGAACATGTGTGTGCTAAGTTGCTTAGTTGTGTCTGACTCTTTGCGACCCCATGGACCATAGCCTGCCAGGCGCCTCTATCTATGGGATTCTCCAGCCAAGAATACTGGGGTGGGTAGCCATCCCCTTCTCCAGGAGATCTTCGCAACCCAGGGACTGAACCCACGTCTCTTACGTTTCCTGCACTGGCAGGCGGGTTCTTTACCGCTATGGCCACCTGGGAAGCCCAGTACGGATAGCGGGAAGAGGGGCTGGTACAGACTGGATGCAGCGAGGTCAGCTTGGGAGGCCTTTTCTGTAATCTAGGTGGTGTTACAAAAATAAAAAAGAAGTGATCAGAACCTGAGTCAGGCAGTAACCGCGGGAACAGAGCACAGGAGACGCATTCAGGAGCCGAGGGAGCTCCGTCCCACAGCTCAGGGTGGCAGCTGTGTGTGGCAGGTAAGACAGAGCCGGGCTTTGATGTTCAGGTGTCTTTTGAGCTGATTTTCATACAGTATTTTGCCTTTGCTTTAGCAAACCTGTAAAGAAAACCTGCCCTACTGTTCCCGTGTGTCTCTTATTTACTTGCACATGATTACCATGCTCACAGTTCTGACCCCAGATGTGTGGCATTTTCCCCACACTGAACAATTCTCCCTGATCTCAGCTGGGTGCCTTACAGTTTAACTCAGTTTGACATTGTCTACTTGGAGATAGGGTTTGCCAGGTGGCTCAGTGGTATAGAATCCGCCTGCCGATGCAGGAGACGTGGGTTTGATCCCTGGGTCAGGAAAATCTCCTGGAAGAGGAAAGGGCAACCCACTCCAGTACTCTTGTCTGGGAAATCCCATGGACAGAGGAACCTGGCAGGCTAAAGTCCACGGGGTTGCAAAAGAGTTGGATGTGCCTAAACAGCAACAGCAACCTGGAGATAGCATCAGACTCCACAGGTTAAGGGCTCAGTCCCACGAGACTGCCCCCACTTCAGATACGAATCACAAGAAGTAGGTCCCCAGGTTACACACGGCTTCTGACTTCATTACAAATTGGTTCCTATGACTTCCTCTCTCTTGGATTCAGTTATTTGCCAGAATAGCTCACAGAACTCAGTGGATCAATTACTCACATTTACCAGTTTATTATATAATAAAGACATAAATGAACAGCCAGATCAAGATATACATAGGGCAAGCTCTGGGAGGCTCCCCAGGAATGGAGCTTCTGCCCCATAAAATTGGGGCACATTGCTCTCCAAGTATGTGGATGTCTTCACCAACCTGGAAGTTCTCTGAACCCTATATTATTGGGAATTTATGGAACTTCGTCATGTAGACATGATCAATTATGAGCTATATTTCCAGCTCCTCTCTCCTCTCTGGAGAAAGGGGGTGCGCTTAGAAATCCCAAGGGATTTGGGAGTTCTGTGCTGGGAACTGGGGTCAAAGACTAAATTTTAGAATGAAAGATTCTCCCAACACCTCTTTGTATAAGGGTCTCAGGAGCCCTGTGTCAGGAATTCAGGGCAGACACTGATAGACAAACAGATAGACAGAGATACAGATATTATTTCACAATACCTTATTGTTTTACTCAGTTTAAAGATCATATTAACTCATTGCTTTTCACCAGAATTGCTGTGTTCTGTTTGACGTTCAAGTTCACATGTTGGCCAATGGGAGCCCTTAATTTAAGCTGAATCCTTTCAGCATCACACAGACATTAAAAATCAATATCCTCGTATCAATAACCTCAGATATGTAGATGACACCACCCTAATGGCAGAAAGCGAGGAGGAACTAGAGAACCTTTTGATGAAGGTGAAAGAAGAGAGTGAATAAAAACTGGCTTAAAACCCAGCATTCAAAAAACTAGGATCATGGCATGCATCACTTCATGGCAAATAGATGGGGAAACAATGGAAACAGTGACAGACTTTATTTTCTTGGGCTCCAAAATCACTGAAGATGGTGACTGTAGCCATGAAATTAAAAGACGCTTGCTCCTTGGAATAAAAGGTCTGACAAGCCTAGACAGCATATTTAAAAAGCAGAGACATTACTTTGCTGACAAAGGTCCATCTAGTCAAGGCTATGGTTTTTAAAGTAGTCATGTATGGATATAAGAGTTGGACTATAAAGAAAGCTGAGTGCCGAAGAACTGATGCTTCTGAACTGTGGTGTTGGAGAAGACTCTTGAGAGTCCCTTGGACAGTAAGATCAAACCAGTCAATCCGAAAGGAAATCAACCCTGAATATTTATTGGAAGGATTGATGCTGAAGCTGAAACTCCAAT